GAATGTACACACTCTGCAGGTATTAAGTAGCATGTATTAGGAAGAGCTATATTGTACCAAGGAGAGAGATTAGATGAATGGGTTGCCCAGGGAAGTTATGAATGCTCCATCCCTGGACATGTTGGACAGAGCCTTGGGTGACATGGCAGGCAGGTTGGAACTAGATGATCCTAAGGCCCTTTCCAACCCTAACTATTCTATGATTCTATGATGTTTCCCCGTTACTTTTTGAGGGGGCAGGCTAAGTGGGCATCAATAAACAAGAAAGATGCTGGAGATTAAAGTTGGTGTATATGTAAACATATATAGTTATGCAGACATATATCTAATTATATAGAAATCTCTATAATTTACCTTCATATAATAGATATAGTTAAAAAATATATAGTATTTAACTAGAACATTGAACGAAAAATGAAACAAACATTTTGCAGCATATAAAATTCACAGGGTGAATGACAAAAAGCTGTGCCGTGCAGAGCTGGGAGTGTGCTGTCATGAGAGTTAGAGATGTGACTACCTTTTGTGGCCACATTCAGCACTAAGTAATGATGGGACCCGGGTCCGTGATACAATCTGGGCTTTAGCACTGCTTTTAATCTCTGCCTGGTGCTAACAGGCTGTTTAGAGAGCTTTGTGCTTAGCTAACCATGTGCAGATTGTTTTGCTGCAGGAGTAGGGATGCCTTGTGCTGAAGTGTCCCTGCAATATTCAAAACCTTGACTTTGCGATAGAGCTGTCACCATTCCTCATGCTGTTCTTCTCCCAGAATATAAACATCCTTCTCTGCTCTCATTTCTCTGCCCAAAGGGTTTACTGCAGCTGCACAAGAGCAGTGTGGAGGCAAACCAAACGTGGCAGTGAATGCAAAGCATCAGTTGACTGCGGCTGAGGCACAGCGCTTCCCAAGTACCTTTGTGTTTCCCCTTTATGTCAGGAATGGGAAACATCGTAATAAGCAACATCTGTGGCAAAATGCAAGTTACTGTCATCCTAAAAATGACTGGCTCACTGGAGGACAATAATTTTCCCATTAAAAAGACTCTATTCAGTTGGAAAGTTTTGTGCTGAGATAAAAGGTGGAAACTCTCCATGCGTCTCTCCCAGCTTGCTGAACGATTCAGAAGGAATTCAGCTGGAATACCAAACCTTGCTGCTCAGGACCTCACACAGAGACACAAGGGGAGGAAAAAACCCTTCTGTTATACTTCTTCCAGCACCTTCAAGAAATTAACCTGTGTCTGGCTGCTAGAAGGAGTCCCTTGCTGAGCTGGGGAATGAAATTGGCCAAGATATAAGGTATAAGATGCTTTCGCTTAATTGGGGGTACATACATCAAAAAAGGACACTACCTGAGGTCTCTTTTGTTTCCTGCTACACCAAAGCTTGCAAAAGCTGCCGGCCCACCCAAAGGCCTTTTGGGGAGGGCATATTCTTGGCTCTTCCAGGGCACACGTGGATGTCAGCAAGCAGTTTTCAGAACTTCCTTGAAGGAAGTTTTTGCTTTGCAATGCAAGTTTTGCATCTCTTGATTCCTGATTTTGAAATTATATCTAATTATATTTAATCCCCCAGCCAAGTGAGGATTCAAAACAATGCCTAGGGAGAAACATCATAGGATGAAAGCCATAGCATGAGCTCCATCTGGGCACCAGGAGTCGGTGATGAATGAGATCCAACCCTCGTAGCAGAGCTGTTGGATAAGAGAGAGCCTGCATGTTCCCTCCAGACCAGGTAGATGATGGAAACACATGTGCTGGCTTCCAGACACTCCGCTGAAGAACATAAAAGAGAACACTCCCAGATAAGCCCAGTCTGCAACAGCTCAAAATACTGTTATCTTGAGCCAGCTTTAGATAAGACCTTATCAAGAGGTCAAAGGCAAGTGAGATTTTCTATTGCTTGTTCAACCCTGCTTCTTGGATAAGAAAAGACAAGAAAAACAATCTGCCTTCTCAATTCAAACACTTTGAGAGCAATGGGATGATACAGCAAGTGGGAACCTCAAGCTCCAAAATCCTTGGATCTCTTCTAAGAAATTCTGAAGCTACATTACCGGCTGCAAGACCCAATGTTCTGGTATGGCTGGTGAGCTGCAGTGATGCCTCCTGCCCTGCCAGGACCCTGCCAGGTCTCTCCCAGTGCAGAGTGCTGAGGCTGTGCTGTGGTAGAAGGTGCACATCACCAGCTATTCTGGACATCTTCAGAGCTGACGTAAGGAGCCGTAGATTTTAAGAGCTCTTTAGACATCTGCTTTGTAGTTGGACCAGGGAAATCACTCAGTGTCCTTGCCAAGGTACTCACTGCCTCAGAGCAGCAGTGGCAAAGTGAGGGTGTTCAATTCTAATAGTACGTGGGATGTGGAGGTTAAAGGTTTCCTAAAGGAAATCATATGCAAGCACAATGCTGATATAGATCTGGCCCTTCATCTGCCTTGTTCAATGTCTGCCAGTACCACTGACAGGCACTTTGTCTTTTAAGCTGCTATTTCTGGATGTAGGCAAGACACTTTTCTTATGAGAAAACATCTCTGCTCAGGGCAGGCAGATTTCAGGCTCATAGCAATGCAGACCCAAAACAAAACTGCTTGGCCCTGGCCAAGTCTTTGTGGGTCAGTGCAGGGAATCAGCCACCAAACAGCCCCTGTGTCAGTGCCATATGTGAAATTATGAATTTGCTAATCGCACGTGCCTTTTGGATGGTTTTATTAGTGCCTGTGCTGACACAACTTCATGGTTCCTGGCTCTGACTTGTGCCTTACCCTGGTCCAAGCAAAATACCATGTGCCACATGCTTCTTCAGAGCCCCCAGAGCACAGCTATGCTTTTTTTTAGGGGGGGTCCCTGAGTGCAGTCTTGCTCCCCTCAGGGAATTCAATCACGCTGCTGTGCAGAGCATGGCAAAAGGCTGCAGATTTGCTGTAAAATCTGTGTGAATCCACAGACTAACACTGCATGCCTTTCATTTTAGGGTGAAATCTGTTCTCCAGGACATTCCTTGGAGGTTTCCAGCCCGTGACTCGGCTTCTCTCAGCACTTGCAGTGTGAGAGCTGCATGGTATGTCCCTCCCATCCAAAACATGAATCAATCCCCATTGTCATTAGAGGGAAAGAGTTCCTATTTCCCCCCCAGCCCCTCTGACCTCCTCCTCTGCCTAGCTGTGGGGACTCCAACTGCTCACAGAGGCATCTTTTGGAGACAAAAGGCTCTGGGACAACAATGCCCCAGTGGGAACTGGCACAGGGAGTGTGTGGGCAAGAACCACAGCTCTGGTCCCACCCTGAGGAGTGTTTGGGATTCACAGTGGGCTCCCCAGGGCACGCAGCATCACAGCAGAGGCACGGCTGCATCACAGCAGATGCACGGCCACATGCTGCACCCTGACATGAGCCTCTCCCAGACAATTACCTTTCTGCCCCATAATTAATATGATGTTTTGATCATGTATTTGAAGCCTTCCTGCTAATTCTGTTAGAGGGATGCAGCACTCATGAGAGTGCCTCTCTAATAACATTCATCTGCTTAATTTATATCTCATATGCAGTGAACTTACTTGCAAGTAAAGACACTTTATGTTCCTCTTTATATGGTTTTCCAAACGGTCAGGGGCCACTTAACCTCTGCCAGGCTTTGTGAGTGCTTGAGGCCAGATGCTTAAAGGGAATCACCTGTCTGTGTTTTGAATGGCTTTTGATCTTTTATTTCATCCCATAAATTCCCAGTGGAGTTCACTGGTAGCAAACATCTGGCACAGACACAATAACCAGCTTTTCCTGCCCAGAGAAGGAGTGAATCATACTGAAAACCCAGATTTGGTGTCTTTCTGTAGAGCTGTCCATAAAATAACCCTCTGGGTGAGGAATGGTGTCATCTGCATTCAGTGTCTCCCCTCAAGAGATGCTACAGTTTCTCCTATTTGTGGATTATTGCATTCACCCACCTGGGTGGGCACACATAAGGGACTCCTTTTCCTGCTAGCCCATGCAGTGAGCAAACTCACTGGCTGGGCTCATAGGCAAGAAAAATAACATAATAATTATAATATTGCTGCTTTAGGACATCTTGCAGAAAGCACAGGTTGGAGGGGTGACCATACAGATGAAAGTGATGCCATCTATCACAGCTGAGGAGCCCAGCACTTCCTATGGGTTTCCTTGAACTTCACATGTCAAATTTAGCTGAACCAGGGAAGCTGAATCAGGACTATTGCTTTTCTGTTCTTATATTCACAACAAAACAGCTCTGGATTTACTTGGTTTTGCTGATTTCCTAAAACTGAGTGAAAGTCTGACTAGTAAACCACGAGGGTGAGCCTTCACAAGGCAGTCGAAGTAGCAGGGAGGAGCATTAACTTGTTTCTTTGTGATCAGTGGAGTTATTCTCCTGATGTGTCTGACCCATAAGAAGCCCAGCAAAGGGCTCTATCACCCTTTGCTGATCCCAGCACACACCTGCAGGTCTCCCCCAGGCCACATAAACCCTGTTCCAAATGGTACATCCATCAGGATGCGCACCCGGCTGTGTAGGGAATGGGGGAGCCAGAGCAGCTGCAACCTCACCTCCCCATCAGATCAGGTTATAACAACAACCTCTAACCTGCCTAACCCCCCGGAAATCAGTGCCCTTTGCTCTTGGCAACAGAGCCTATCCAGAACCGGTGAGGAAACAGCAGGCCTGTAAGTGCCACGGATAAGGATTTGCAGCCACCTCTGGCATGAAGGTACTGTGATTATATCAAGCTAAAATGAGTCACCTCGTGCTGCTGGAGCTGTGTGCTCTTAGGAAACTTTCTCTTTGACATAATCTTTCCTTAAAAGTCAGATCTTTCCTCTGGGAAAAGGGAAGTCTTGGCTTAGACTGACCTACCTCACTTGTTTTCTTGGCTGGAGAAAGACATTCTCCCTTGGCTGCACAAACACCCTGTGACTTTCACTCATAACCTGCCTGAGAACGCTTTTACAAACCATTATTTAATTCATTCTAATCAGGCAGCACAAACCCTGGTTCCTGAAGTGATTTTATTCTCCCAGCCTGATAAAATGCCTGTCGTTTTATTCGGATACATCGTCCCCACTGTAACAAATGGTGCTGAATGTTTTACAGGTCCTGGGGAGATGCTCAAGTCTTGGCCATGTCCTCCAAGCATCGTCTGACAGCAATTTATGTTACTGCAGAATCTGCCTTATTGAAACCATTTGTGGAATGGGAATTCATGCGGATTTGTGCACAGGAGATGACTGTTTAGTGATGATGTATGAACGATCTCATTTAACTTCCTTGAAGGCAGTGGGAATATGTAGCAAGAAGCCTCACCACAAATCTTGAAGCAGAAAAATCTTGACTTGGTGATATTCTGCTATTCCCTGGACAAGCATATGGAAAAAAAACAATTTATTATGAATGACACAACCAAGACCACTGTAAACTTTCAGTAGTAGAAAATTTGTGCACAGGTTCACACACATTTACATGTGGCCGGATGTGCTCTTTTCACCTTAATGCTTTCCCTGAGCTCATTGCTCATGTGGATATAGAATCATAGAATCATAGAATAGTTAGGGTTGGAAAGGACCTTAAGATCATCTAGTTCCAAACACCCTGCCATGGGCAGGAACACCTCACACTAAACCATCTCACCCAAGGTTCTGTTCAACCTGGCCTTGAACACCACCAGGGATGGAGCATTCACAACCTCCCTGGGCAACCCATTCCAGTGCCTCACCACCCTCACAGTAAAGAATTTCCTCCTTATATCCAATCTAAACTTCCCCTGTTTAAGTTTTAACCCGTTACCCCTTGTCCTATCACTACAGTCCCTAATGAAGAGTCCCTCTCCAGCATCCCTATAGGCCCCCTTCAGATACTGGAAGGTTGCTATGAGGTCTCCATGCAGCCTTCTCTTCTCCAGGATGAACAGCCCCAACTTTCTCAGCCTGTCTTCATACGGGAGGTGCTCCAGTCCCCTGATCATCCTCGTGGCCTCCTCTGGACTTGTTCCAACAGTTCCATGTCCTTCTTATGCTGAGGACACCAGAACTGCACACAATGCTCCAGGTGAGGTCTCACGAGGGCAGAGTAGAGGGGCAGGATCACCTCCTTCGACCTGCTGGTCACGCACCTTTTGATGCAGCCCAGGATATGGTTGCTTTCTGGGCTGCAAGCGCACACTGAAGCCGGCTCATGTTCATTTTCTCATCAACCAACACCCCCAAGTCCTTCTCCACAGGGCTGCTCTGAATCTCTTCTCTGCCCAACCTGTAGCTGTGCCTGGGATTGCTCCGACCCAGGTGTAGGACCTTGCACTTGGCATGGTTAAACTTCATGAGGTTGACATCAGCCCACCTCACAAGCGTGTCCAGATCCCTCTGGATGGCATTCCTTCCCTCCAGGGTATCAACCGAACCACACAGCTTGGTGTCATCGGCAAACTTGCTGAGGGCGCACTCAATCCCACTGTCCATGGCAGCAATGAAGATGTTGAACAAGACCGGTCCCAGCACCGATCCCTGAAGGACACCACTCGTTACTGGTCTCCAGCCGGACACTGGGCCATTGACCACAACTCTTTGCGTGTGGCCATCCAGCCAGTTCTTTATCCACTGAGTGGTCCATCCATCAGATTGATGTCTCTCCAATTTAGAGACAAGATATAGTTATATACATTACTAATCTTATCTCTTTTCTCTAGCTGTCAGTCTAACTGCCTGCCTGCTGAATGGCCAAGATTTCAGACAGGCAGGAGCCAAATTTAACCAAGACATTTTAATAATACAAGGACATCTTATGCCAGCATTATTTACTCCACTTTGCGTAGCACAGCCATACAGCAACCTTATATGGATGTAAGTATCACCAGAGGGAGTAAGTATCACCAAGAGTAAAGGACTGTGGCCCAAGTGTAGCATGTAGATAACATGTAGTTAAAAAGAAAATGACAGTCTATTTTCTCTTTCCCTTTTAGTAGCAATAGTTTTAAAAACATCATACATTATCAAACACTAGCACTTAGAGTAACGCAACTCAGAAATCTGTTTAGCAGTAAACTTTAAATTTCTAATTATTGCCTAATTATTAAATTTCTGATTATTGTTTCCTAAGGATTAGTGCCTGATTCTTATAATTACTTCACAAGCTGCTAAGACTTCTTTATACTAATAGTTGCAGCCATTAACCTGCTGAGAAATGCTTTGTTAAACATGGAATTCCTCAGAAAGTCAAAGCTGCTTCTCTTTTATTCTCCCCTTTTTTTTCTGAATGGGCCATTCAGAAGTGAACTTGGTGAGACACGAACTGCTCTGTGGAGGGAGCAAGGAGCCTCTTGTAGCTGAGTGCACTAAAGTCTCTCAGACTAAACAACTGCTGATTTCAGATGACATTTGGTGGGGATGATGGTGACCTGTAGGTACTGTCTTCACCTCAAGGTAACACTTGAGTCATTAGGGAGTCACTTTGCGTAGCAGTAGACTGACCTGTGGACAGGAGTTGTTCACAGTTGTCCTTATTGAATGCAGAAGAGAAGACAGCCAGAGGGACATGACCTGTTTAAAGGAAAACAGGGATAAATACTGTTTTAAATGACTACAGCTCTGGGAGAGAGGAGAACCAGCAGGATGGTGCAATGCAAGTGACAGGGACCTAGAGGCATGCTTTCTGATGAGAGGGCCTTCTCAGAAGGCTGGTGGAGGCTGATGAAGCCTCTGTGCCATTAAAGGTTCTCCAGCCCCATCCATGCCTGAAACAATTGTGCCATGGGCTCCCCCCAGATCCTGTCAGCCCCCAGAATGCTGCTCACACCTGTCATGTTATTGCAGGAGCAACCTATGGACCAAGCAGTGATGAAGTTTATACAAACTCAAAGCAACATACAGTCATTGCATCTCCACAGAGATCCCCTCTATGACACTTGCCCCCCAGGGCTCCTTTGGGAGACCATGAACTCCATGCAAGCAACGCAGCTTGCTCTGCTGGTCCCAGGAGGACCTCCTGTTGCTGCAGCTGTGAGGGAGGTGACCTTCCCCGGTTTAACACTTCATTCTCTTTCCCCATCCTTCTTTCTCTGCTTTCCTCCTGGCTTTTCTTACCAGCTAAATTCCCTGGCATGAACTGAACAGGTGTTGTTGCTAGGAAGCTTTCTACAGCAGTAGAGATACGGACAAAACTACCCCAAAGCAGTTACTGCTAAAAACACTGTAACTCCCTTATGTCTAAAAAATCAAATATATTCCATTAAATACAGAGCTTTTATAACCCATACCTCACTTTTCTTCTGATTCCCACTATCGCATTCTGGAAAGCGTGGAGATGGAGTCCTATGGCTACCACCTACATGCAGCTATTGATACTTAGATGTGGGTCCAAGTACTACAGCTTTCAGGTATAAGGAAGAATAGGAAGGTTTCTTTGCATTTGCTCACAGGCTTTGTCACTCCTGTGCAGACCCATTTTATAGCAGATATAAAAGAAATTCAGTGCATCCAGCCTTCTCTCTTCTGTACCCAGGCTATGGAGTGGGGTTGAGGTCAGGGTAAACTGAAGGCAAGCAAGGCTTAGTGCTCTTATCTCGACTAGCTTTGTGGTTCTATTTCTTTCTTCATTCCAGGTGGAGGCTGGTGCTGCTGGAGGAGAAATTCATGGAAGATTATAAAATAAGTGGCTCCCATATTTGGCTCTCCAAGCCCTGAACATTACTGAAGGCTGTGAGAGTGTATGCATACATATATATGTATATATACACATGTATACATACATATATATACATATATGCACATATATACACAAATGTATGTGTCTGTACTCATGTGTATGTAACAGTTGCCCTATCCTCATACGTTGTCCCCTGCCTCTGCCTCTGTCCCAGGCAGGATGCTGGGATTCTTTCAGCCTGATTTCATAAGTCCTTTCTTATCCTTCAGCCACTTGGGTGTCTGAATGTCCATGCAGGTGTCTAATACCTCATATCCAGTCTCTCCGTCTCTCCCATTGTCAGGCACAGCCTGACTCATGTCCCCTTCCTTCCATTTGGTCATGTCATTTCTAAATCACCTTCCTTCCCTACTCCCCACCCATGCGTATGGATTTCTTTTCCCCAATGGCCACGTCTTCCCCTTCTTCGAAATCATTTGCAGAAAGCTAACTCCAGTTTGGTTTAATTAAAGCCCCTGCTCTTTTATCATGTCTTTAAATCACTTCCTTCAAGCAATCTTTACATGAAATTATCACTTTGTCAAAGCACAATCCCAAGGCACAGCTCGGGGCACAGTGGGAAGCACACAAAGGGAAAGCAGGGAGGCTCGGTAAGTTTGGGTGAGCTGTTTGCTCAAAGCTGCCGAGCCCACCCCTCCAAGACCTTTATTTCCCCCTGCGGCAGCTGTCATCTGATCCCACGCCCTGGCTCTGAATGGGGCTCTCTGAGGATGCCAGATGTTGGGAACAAAGGTCTAAAAATAATCTTCACAAATAACCTTCCCATCTATCACTGTAGGAGGGCACGTGCTTGGTGCGGACATGCGAGCCGAGAACCTGAGCTAACTTGGACTAAAGAAGTTCAACAGCAGCTCCTGGCTTGTGGGCTTGGGTGGTTTTTTTTTTTCCCTTCCCCTTTCCCTTCCCAGAAGCTGCGCAGGGAAAAGCAGCTCTCAGCAGCGGTCAGCCCTCACTCTCCCTCCCTCCCTGTATCCCTCCCTATCCTCACGAAGGCTCTGATCGCCTGGATCCCAAAAGCCAGGCTGCTTACTTGATCTCTCCTTGGGAAAATGGATTCCAGGCTGCTGTCAGAGATGCGTTTCTGTACAAAGATCCTCACGGCAGCCTTATGTGTCTTAGTTTTGCTGCCAGACTTGGGCTGTGCAAGGAATCTCTGGAAGCGTGCTCTGCATCTGAAAATGACAGAGAAATACGATGTGAGTACACTGTGGTGGGGTGATCTGGGGGGAGCTGGGTGCGCTCACCGTGAAAAGGGAGTTTTCTTTCCATGTATTATTTTAGAATAAGAACTATTTGGATCCGCGGCTGTGTCTTTATAAAAGGATTACAATAAGTTTCCTAGGCTCTGCTAAACTTTTGCCACCTAGCTGCTGCAGTGGGAATATGTGTAAAGCATGCTTGGGACAGCGAGAAGACATTGGTACGGCAGCTGTCACTGCTGTTCCTATGGACATCATGGGACAGCAAGTGAAGTGTGAATGGGGAGAAAGGGAATGAAAAACCTGCATGGCTGGGGATAGAGTTAATGATAGAAGATACTGTGATTTATTGCTTAGAGCAGGGAGGAGGGGTCCCTGCCCCATTCCTCCTCTGCCTTCTGGGGTAATTTGGGGTAAATGTCACCAACTTCTAGTGTTAATGGGTCCTAAAGGGATGGTGGCATTGCCTAGGGTTTTGTAAATCACTGCAGCAGAGAGACCTCCAGGTGTATGTACAGTGTCAGAGTAACGTGCTGGTCACCTTAATGGGTGTAAGGATTTGATCAGAGAAATCCAGTCTCCTGGGGTGTTCTTTAGGAGGAGAGCTCCCCTCTGCTCCCCACATCCCTGCCCGCTTTTGGCAGACTGGTGGTGCTGAACACAGCCACTGCTTCCAAACCTGCATCGGTTCTTAAAACAGGGAAGAGTTACTGTGAGCAGAGAAAACGATGGTGCTGTGTCTTGTCCTGGTGTGTTTGAGCCAAAAGACTTAGAAATGGACATGGAGGAAATTGGAAAACAACAAAAAAGGAAAACAATTTGGTAGTTTGACTTTCACGCCTGCTGTTTAGAAAGAAAAATGTTAATTCAAAACTTTTATCATTAAAGTCCCTTTAGAAACCAGCTTCTGCCCCTGTAGTCCCTTAGGTGGAAACCCCAGCCAGTCTGTCTTCTCATTCTCAGGTCTGATATCATCTTCCATCCATTGCATGTGCTGGAAGTCCTTGGTGTCACATGGGATTCTTCCACCTGCTTTCTGCAGCCACTTAGAAAAGCTTTAATCTAAAAAGGATCCCTGTTTTTGCCCATGCCATCTAGAGTGATGTTTGGGGACAGCTACATTGGGTTGGTGTGATTGCTGACTCAGAAGGGTGACACAGGCCTTTTGCCTGTGCTGAATGAACTGCTCTGCTCGTCTCCTTGAAATTTTGCAGAAGACATTATGCTAATATTGGAAGGCACCCCAATATTTGACAACAAGACGTTTTCTTCATTGTATCCCCCCTTGGGACAAAGTATTCTCTGGTTTATATTTTAACTGGAAAATGGTGACATGAAAAGCTGTGTTTCCCTCAAAATCAGTCACTGGAAAGTGTATTTATTACTATGTTGTTCTGTCACACTTCAATGCGAAGCTCAAATTTAATAGTAGGTATGAAGTAAATGACCCAGAGAGATAGGACTGGGGCAGAACAGGAATTTACATGTTGATCTTCAGATAATATCCTCTGCAGAGGCACAGAGCCTGCTCCCCTGAGGATATATCCTCCTCTTTCAATCTGCAGTTCTTCAAAGGTCTGTTTTTTCTGGCAGCCATAAATCCAGGTGCTACTGACATGGCAAGCTCAGCTAGAATTGTTTGTATTGATAGAAACATCTTATCTTGGGAAAATAGAACATACTTTGCTTATTTCTTCTCAAAGCCTTGCAAGGAGGAAGACGTCTGCACTCCATCCTTTTACCCGCCAAAGTCTGTTCTAGCAGCCCCTCCTATTTCTCAGAAAGAAGCTTTCTTTTCTACCAAATGCTGTGTTCCCTCCAGTTTGAAAATCAAAATCTGTGGGTGGAACAGCTGATTTGTGAGTCACTTGGATAGAGGGATAACAGATGGAGGTGCTTACGGCACTATGCAGCCATACAGGAGATGGGCCATAGACATTGCTGTGGGATCCCCAGGACATGGGTAAGGTCCATAGAGAGAGGAGGTGGTGATGGGTGAGGATCTGACTGAGACTTATGTTGTATGAGTCCGAGACATCTGGGTCTGCAGCAGGAGCAATGCATCCACCAAACTGCTGGCCACAGAATGCTGAGCAAGCGTTGATGAGGAGCTGGCTTGAGGTCTGGCCAGGAGTTGTTCATTCAGGTGTCTGAGAAAGGGTGTTGGCTGGCAAGGAGGGGTCAAGTGGGAGCACTGAAGGGAGAAAGAGGAGAGGGAACGCAGTGAGGAGGAAAATCTGGCAGTCACAATGGGATGGAGGAGCTGGGCTTCCAGCTATTAGCAAATCCATGTATTTTACAGCCAGAGGGACACTTGTCTAGAGCAGTGATTTGTAGCTGGTGTTCTGCAGCCACTGCATAGCCTGTGGATGGTTCCCAAAAGGCAGAAGGAGGGAATTACCTGAGCAAGGGCTTCAATTCATTATCAAGACACCTACATATCTATTGGGAAAACCTGGGGCAGTCTTGATTCTAATTCAGTGTCAACTGCACCAAACGTTTGAGAAAGAAAACCAGCCTTCTTTTAAAGATTTCCAGAAATGAAGAATTCCTCACAGCTGCTGTAATGTTCTTCCAGCAGTTTATTTACCCTCCAGCTCACTGTCATTAACCAACACTGAGATATCCTCTTCATCCACCAGATTTTCACACCTCCCATGAGATTTCTGTCCCGCTTATGCCTCAGAGTAACATAAGAGCAGAGCAGCCCTCAGCCTCCCCTTTGAAACCTGCATAAAGTTCTTGCTCTGCGTTCCCTGCTTTCCACCCCTTTAATTGCCATTATGCATCTTCTTTGAGTGCACCCTAATTTTGGGACTATCTTCCAGTACTGCCTACACCAGAACCAGAATTACTAATCCAGAGTCAACAGCAGAATATTATTCCTATTGTTTTGGCCTTGTCCTATTTAACCCTCCTTCAGTTTGATATTTGCAACTTTGAACACGGATGATCTATGTTTTTCCAGGTCTTTGACAGAAATATTGGAGGGCTCTATATTACTCCTGACTGTGTTGTTCAGAGAAAAGGTGGTTTATGGCCAGTGTTTGGAAATACCTGCTGGGGCAGCGCTGGTGACTGGAGGCTGGGAATAAACCTCGCGATATTCAGGCCACGCAGAATATGACTTGGCAGAGAATTGTGCTTTAACACA